TACTTTTCTAAACAAAATTCAAATAATTTTTAAAATGTCTGATGGTGGTGCAACAAGTTAAACTATTGAGCTACTCACTTGCTGACCAAAAGGTCGGTGGTTCGAATCCAGGGAGCAGAGTGAGCTGATAGCCCCAGCTTCTGCCAACCTAGCAGTTCGAAAACATGCAAATGTTATTAGATCAATAGGTACCACTTTGCAGGAAGGTAACAAGTTCCATCTTGTCTCCTGCATATGTCATCAGTTGGAGACCCCTCTCCCCATCGCCAACCGCCGCTCTGAGCCAGAGTGAAGACAGGGCAGGCCAGGGGACAGTTCCACCTTGCCTTCTGTGCTATGCTAATATATAATATAATATAATATAATATAATATAATATAATATAATATTATATTATATTATATTATATTGTATATACATATAATATTTATATTATAATGTAATACAGTATAATACTAATAATATATTATAATTATATATTTTATATTAAATGTAATATTACTAATAATATTACAATATAATTGTATAGTACAATATAGTGATGTATAGCCCTGATATTATACTGTGCTAATGGTATAATGTATTGTATATATGTGTGTGTATATTGTAAGCTGCTCTGAGTCCCCTTCGGGGTGAGAAGGGTGGCATATAAATGTCACAAATGTCGCAAAATAACAGCACTCCATGCAGTCATGCCAGCCACTTGACTGTGGAGGTGTCTATGGACAACACTGTTTTTTTTGGCTTAGAAATGGAGATGAGTACCACCTCCCAGAGTTGGACCTTTACCTTAATTATCAGTTGACCGTAATAAATGCTATTACTGTTGTTGTCATCTAAACAACAATTTATCAATATTTGTTTTCCCCAGTTTAAAAACTGTACCCGCCCCCCCCCCCAATCAATGAACTTGGGATTCTCAATTTCACCTACTCTTGTTCAAAAACCAAAAAATCCTCCCCAAAAGCATTCATGGGTTGCTCTAGGTCCCGGTATGCATCCAATCAAATATAAGTCAAGATAAAGGGTTTGCTATTATCTGCGGTTTTAGGTATCCACTGGGAGTTTTGGAAAATATCTCCCATGGATATAGAGGTCCGGCTATACTTCTGCACCAAATTCACACTCTTTTTCTTTTCTTTTCCCTTTTTAAACAAATGCCAAGGTTGCAAGTTGTAAATCAAAGACAGGGTGAGGGGAAGTTCTCAGGTCCTTTCTCTGCTAACAGGGATTCTTTTAAGTACATTTGTGAAAGAAAGTGAGACAGTAAGTAAATGATGGTATGTGAGTTTCCCCATCTCGATCGATCCTTTATTTCTTTCGCAAAGGCTTCATCATTTAACATTCCATTACTGAGACTTGTAACTTAACAATTACAAATGTCCCTTAAATATTCCATGACATCACAACAATTCAGCCAGTGACCTGTGGGAAATGAAAGGAGAGATTGCCTGTGCACGGGAACCAATACAACTTGGAGTTTACAAGCACAGACTGGCTGTTGTTTTATACTTACTCTTCCCAATGGACTGTTAAAGGTTAGGAAGGAGGACACCTCACAATAGTTTCTGATTGCGTACTCTGAGCAGATTTCAAGTGTGCACGTGAAAGTTAATGTAATATCATTGGTCTGGGACTTGAACTATACCATCTCAAGTCCCCACTATGTCATGCCACTTATGACCTTGTCACACGGCCACGGAAGTTGCTCTGCTTCGTTGGAGCCCACAGCCCACATTGCCCAGCTCCTCTTACAGTTGATCCTATGCAAGGAAGCATGGAGCATGCGTGCAGCGTGTGGCTTCCTCCCATGAACTCCAATGGCAACACGGGAAGTGTCCTGTGTTGCTGTGGTGGCTGCAGGCAGGAAATCAGGAGAGCAATGTCCAATCTCGATAAAATAGTGAAGAGTAGAGACATCACACTGGCAGTTAAAGCAATGGTATTCCCCACAGTCACCTACGGATGTGAGAGCTGGACCATAGGGAAGGCTGAGCAAAGAAAGATAGATGCTTTTGAACTGTGGTGTTGGAGGAAAATTCTGAGCCTTGAACCGCCAGAAGATCCAACCAGTCCATACTTCAGGAAATAAAGCCTGACTGCTCATTGGAGGGAAGAATAGTAGAGGCAAAGCTGAAGTACTTTGGCCACATCATGAGAAGAAAGGAAAGCTTAGAGAAGACAATGATGCTGGGGAAAATGGAAGGAAAAGGGAAGAGGGGCCGACCAAGGACAAGATGGATGGATGGCATCCTTGAAGTGACTGGCTTGACCTTTAAGGAGTTAGGGGTGGTGACAGCTGAAAGGGAGTTCTGACGTGGGCTGGTTCATGAGGTCACAAAGAGTTGGAAACGACTGAACGAATGAACAACAACAACAAAGCATTCTTTTGAATATCTGGGATATAAAATAACCACAAGTCTCTTAGAGCTGCAGATGTTTCTTTTCACAGGGGAGAGACAACAGGTGGGAACAACTCTCTACAATGTGATAGCAAATCTCAGATGGATTACTGCAATGCACTCTACGTGGGGCTGCCTATGAAGACAGTTCAGAAACTGAAATTAGTGCAAAGTATCAGCCAGATTTCTAACAAGAGCTGACTACAGGGAACACACTACTCCCTTGTTAAAGCAGCTCCACTGGCTGCCTGTGAGTTTCCAGGCCCAATTTAAAGTGCAGGTCATTACCTAAAAAGCCCTTTACAGTTCAGGTCCAGCCTATTTGTATGATCACATCTCCCCCTATGAACCAACTCACGCCTTAAGGTGTTCTGGGGGCCCCTTCTCAGGATCCCACCACACTCACAAGCACGGCTGGTGGGAACGAGAGAAAGGGCCTTCATGGTGGTGGTGCCCCAGTTTTGGAATGCTCTCTTTAAAGAAAGGCACCCTCTCTAGCTAACTTTGGGGGGGGGGACTAAAAAACTGGATTTGTAAGCTGGATTTCAAAAATGGTTGATTACTTTTCATTATGATGGTGGTCTTTTAGCCTTATCAAGACCTAGTGCTTTTTAAGTGGCTCCGCTTTGCCTCTATGGAGCCATGTGTTTTAAACCTGATACATTTTTTGTTTATGATAACTGGTTATTAGGGTTGGGCAACCACGGAAAAATTTGTTTCTAAACTCGATTCGTTTTTTGGGGTTTTTTGCGTTTCAATATTTAAAAGAATTCCGAAATTTTTCTTTAAAAAAGTTCGATATTTACGAAATTTTGCGTAAAATTACGAAACGAATACAAAACGAATACGAAACAAATACGAATCGATTCGTTAATGGCGGACGCGACCGCGCAATACGCTAAAAAACCTCCATATGGGACAGGGGGAACTTCTGAAGCTTCCCTCTCCCTCTGTTGTTGACTGTTGGTGTGATATTTATAATTTTTTTTCACTGATTAAACAAACAACAGCTATAAAACTTGCCCCAGACATGCGGAAATAATAACGAAACGATTTCGAAACGAATACGAAGCAATTACGAAACGAATTGAAAAATTCGTTTCGTTTTTTAGATGCTCCTGAATGGTTCGTTATCGCTTCGTAAAAAAAAAATAACGAATTTTTAACGAATTACGAAATTACGAAACGAAACCGCCCAGCCCTACTGGTTATATATGTCTTGTCATTTTGGTTTCTGCTTAGGTATGTATTGTGACTTGATTCTGTTGTGAGCTGTCTGAGTCTTTGTGGAGAGGGGGTGGGATATAAATAAAGATAATGAATAAATCAACTGAGAACTCCTGAATAAAACGGATCGTTTGCTAGTGTGCAATGGAGGTTTGCCCACACCTGCCCCACAAATAAAGTGAAGTGAAGGTAGGGAAATCATCCAATTAATTTCAAAACGGAGTATGCCTGAGTTGTATGGTAATCTACTCTTCTAAACACTTGACATGTTCAGCGGAATGAAATCTGTGGGGGAGGTGTGGCCCTTTCTTTGCTTCATTTTCTTTCCTTCTTTCTCTTTCCTCCCTATCTTCCTTTATTCTTTCTCCCCGTCCTTCTTTCTCTCCTTCCTTTCTCTTTATTTCCCCTCTTCCTCTTTCCTTCCTTCTCTTCCTTTCTCTTTATTTCCCCTCTCCCTTCTCTTTGTGCGTTTCTCTCCCTCCTTCCTTCTTTCCCTTTCTTCATTCTCCATATCTCTTTATTTCCCCTCTTCCTTTTCTCCTCCCTTTCTCTTTTCCCTCTTCCTTGTCTTTTTTCTTCTTCCTTTTCTTTCTTCATTCTTCCTTTCTCTTTGTTCCCCTCTTCCTTCTTTGTTTTCCCCTCCTTCCTTATTTCTTCCTTTCTCTTTATTTCCCCTCTTCCTTTCTTCTTTCTTTTGTGCCTTCCTTCTTTCTCTTCCTTTCTTCATTCTTCCTTTCTATTTCCCCCTTCCTTCTTTTCGTTCTTTTCCTCTTCCTTCTCTTCCTTTCTTCATTCTTTCATTCTCTTTCTTCCCCTCCTTTCTTTTTTCTTCTTCCTTCCTTTCTTTCCCTCCTTCTTTCTTATTCTTCCACTTTCTTTAATTCTCTTCATTCTCTTCCTCCTCCCTTTCTTTTCCTTCTTTCTCTTTCTTTCCTCTTCTTTCTCTTCCTTTTTCTTTATTCTTCTCTTCCTTCTCTTCCTTTCTTCTTTCTCTTCCTTTCTTCATGCTTTCATTCTCTTTCTTTGCCTCCCCCTTTCCTTCTTCCTTTTCCTAATTCTTCCTTTTTCTTTAATTCTCCTCTTCCTTCTCTTCCTTTCTTCTTTCTTTCATTCTCTTTATTTCCTCCTTTCATTTTTCTTCTTTCCCTTTCTCTCCTTTTTCTCTTCTATTCCCAGAGCGACCTGGGGAGGCAGCTGCACCCGTAGTCTTCCTAGAGGGCCGCAGTCTTCCTAGAGGGCCGCAGTTTGCCCATGCCTGGCCTCGGGTAACGAGAGGGAAGCAAGCCCCGCCCAGAACGGCCTTCCGGGCGGAGGTGTGGGCGCGACGGCGGCCACAGCGCCGGACCGGATGTTTACAAGGCTGCACTTCCGCCTGCTCTGCTCGGCTGCCGTCTCTATGGTGGCGCTAGGCCCCGCGATGGCAGCGTAGGCGCCTGCGCGAGCCGGGCCCCCTCAGGCCGCTCCTGTCGCAGCGAGAAGGCGAGAGCCGGGCTTCCCCTTCCCCTCCTCTGCCGGCTCCCGCCCGCGCCGCTGGCTCCCTTGGGTTCGGCAAATGGTGGGGCCGGAGGATGCCGGAGCCCCGGGAGGCGGCGGGGCCTTGCTCCCTTCGGGCCAGGAGGAGTCGGCGGAGGAGGAGGAGGAAGAAGAGGGCGAGCCCAGGCCGCGGCTGAGGCGCTACTGGCCCGGGAAGAGCTCGCCCAACGGGGAGGCCCGCGGCCCAGGCCGGATGACCAACGGCGACGCCGGCTTCCTCCTCAGGCCTCCGGCTCAGGAGGCGCCGCCAGCCCTGGCGCTCCCGCCACCGCCCTCCGAGCGCGGCGAGGAGAAGCTCCACAACGGCGGCTGCCTCTTCTTCCTCCCGGAGGAAGCCTCCGCCTCCTCCTCCTCTTCCTCCTCCGAAGGAGAAGAGGAGGAGGGGGCCGGGAGCCTGTCCTCCTCGGCGAGGGCCCTCCCTTGCCTGCCCGCCCTGGCCTTCATGGACATTAACCTCCACTCCCGCAACACCTTCGAGGTGAGCCGCCGACAGAGCGCCCCCGAGCACTTGCAGCAGGCGGCGACAGCGCAGCAGCAGCAGCAGCAACTCCCTCCTCCTCCTCCTCCACCGCCTCCTCCTCCTCCTCCTCTGCCGCAGCAGCCCAGCCTCCCTTCCGCAAGCAGCGCCAATGCAGTCGCCTCCCAGGACGGGGACCGGCTCCGGAGGCTAGGAGGCCTCGCCGGGTCCAGCTTCGCCGACTTCTTCACCAG